TTAATAAAAGTTAAATTTTTAAAATTTTACTTTTTTCTTATTTAAAAAAAATTTCCTCTTTCTTATTTTAGCCTTTTTAACTATTTTATCTTATCAATACCTTTTTGAAAATCATTTTAAATTTTCATTGTTATGGTCATATTCTATTCCTTCATTGTATTTAACCTTACTTTATGTATACATATATGTTTTTCTTTCTTTAAAATTTTCAGATACAGTTTCTTCTAATGGATACAAATAAACCCTAAATCTAGTGTATGGCTTTGTTCTAGTCTCCAGCCTGAGCACATTCTCTCCTTTTTTTCTTTTTCTTTTCTCTTTTTCAACCAACTTCTTATCTTATCAATTCCTTTTTTAGAATCTTTTAAAATTTTCATCTTTACAGTCATATTCTGTCCCTTCACCATGTTTACCCATATTTTTATTTATATATAAGTTTTTCTTTCTTTAAAATTTTGGAAGACAGTTTCTTCTAATGACCAAAATATACCCAAAGTCAAGTGTGTGGCTCTGTTCTAATCATATATAAATATATGACTTCTTTTTTTCTTTTTCCTATTTTCTACCCCTGGTTTCAAGTCTCTTCTGATTTGGTGCTGCCCTCCCCAAGCCACTGAATGCTTTCCTCGGGGAAATGATCCAGAGGTAGCACTCGCCTCCCTTTCTAGCTTGGGTGGGCACGTGGCTCCACGCCAGCTCAGAGAAGGGAGAACTTTCCGTGTCCTTCCCGACCAGGTGGCCCAGACCCCCTTTCCTCCAGATCTTTCTGCAGCCCGTCCCGTCAGTTCCAGAGTGGAGTCCCTGGGTGCTCTGGCTGCTCCTTGTGTGACGTCTGTCTTTCAGCACTGTGGAGGGCGGTGTTTGCTCTGACAAACCTCTGTGGAGGCCCCTTTGGACACAGAACACCATGTGATCTCTGGGTACTCAGATCAGTCCGGATCTAACCCAGATGATGAATGGAGCACAGGAACCTCCTGGAGGAGCCGCCCTCCCCCTCAAACCCAGGCCTGCTGGCACCACTAGCCATTATTCTGTCTGTCTCACCAACACACGGCCATGTGATCTTCCAACATTACTGACTCATGGTGGCTCTTGTAAAAGCACATCCTGCATGTCCTCAACGTCAGCTGCTGAAGTTGGCAATGATTCAAGCAAACACACGAAAGACAAACAGGACTGAAGTTCAACACCCACCACCTTTGAGAAATGAAGGAAATATTGTGGATGCAGCCCAGACCCGCAGTCCACCTGTGGTGCCAGCACCATGCCAGGGACGCCTGCCTTCCTGGGAGGCCACACCATGTCTGTCTCTGGATGCAACAGCGTGTCCTTCCCGTAATGATCGCCTCCTTGCATTTTATCTTCCTGCTTATATTTGGAAGGTCTCCAAGAAATTTAAAGTTGCAAATGACTCACTAATTCTGGTGAATTCCGAGTATCTACTGCCATGTATCCTTGAGAAAGGCATCCATTAATCAGGTACTGGTTATTGTGCTAAAACTTAAATTTAATTTAATTAATTTCCTTTTCCCTCAAGTATGCTGCCAGCATGTGTCAGATGGGTGTGCCATCCTCTGAAGGACATGCATAACAGGGACGACCTCCCTAAGGGTTATGGTCACTGAATCCTGAACACCTCATGCCTCAGGTTCAGAAACAGCTAGAGTTCTGGTGGGCTCTCGTGGGAGAAAATGTGGCTCCGATGGCCCCTGCAGGGAGTAAAGGGGTTCTCACGGCCACGGCCCCTGGGAGGTTGGCAGCCCGTGGGGAGCCTCGCTCTCCAGGGGGACAGCTGGACAGATGAGCAGAGCAGTGGGGCTGACAGGTGTTCTAAGACTGGAGGCTGACCTGGCAGTGAACTCTCAGAGGATTCATGAAGGATGTGGGCGGCACCCTGCGTGCAGACACTGAAGTCCATTGCCTGGTGGGAACCTGTGTTCTGTGGGGCTGTGGGACGAGGAAAGGCGGGCAGGGGAAGCTGCGGTGGTGGGCTCGGGGCCAACCTGTGTGGGGGAGCTGAGCTCACGGGTCCCTGGACTGAGGCTTACGGTCTGGGGGTCCCTGGACTGAGTAAGGCTTGTGGCCCAAGGGTCCCTGGACCAAGGCTCACAGTCAGCGCAGTGCCAACAGACACACTTGGGTGAACCCGACCCACAGGACTGAATGAGGAACTCTCGTCTGCCTGGCAGGGACACCAGCACAAAACAACGTAAATATCAGAGTTCTACCAACGTGATGCTGAAGGTAATTGCAAGCATGTTGTTTTCACTGACGAGAGTGTTCATATTTTAGGTAATAAAACTGAACACGTTAATTATTGCTGATTTCACAATTCCTATCTACAGCAAGTGCTCATGGGAAGGGCAGACACTAATGAAATCGATTTATCACAAAGGCAGCTAACTGTGAAAGCCAGTGTTGGAAACACCAGCATCAGTGGCTCTATTTTAAGAAAATGTAACAGGCTGATCCCAATAATTATCAACTGGTGGGATTCAAGCCTGTGAATGTAACGAGTGTTCAGGTTAAAAGAAAGCTAAATAGGAAACACACCCAGATTAGAATATAAAATGTAATTATACCTTTATTGACATTTTTAAGGATCGATTACTTTGGTATAACCTATGGTGTCCCGTTTAGATATGAATTAAGGCAATAAAAATAGCAAAATAGATCATATTAAAACTAAAAGCTTCTGTTCATCAAAGGACAGGATCCACAGAGTGAGAAGATGACCCGTGGGGTGGGGGAGGGGCTTACAAGTCAGGGGTCTCATGAGGGGCTGATACCAGAATGCATGACGAGCTCCTACCCTCACCACACCAAAATCAACCTGATCAAAAAAACCGACCAGAGATCCAAGCAGGCATTTCTCCCAAGATGTGCCAACAAGCACAGAAAAGATGTTCGCCGTCAGAAATGCCCATCAGAGCCACTGAAATACCCTGTCACACCCAGCGGGATGGCTGTTCCCGAAACCGAACGGAACCAGGGAACCAGTGTGGTGAGGGATGGAGAAGCTGGAAGCCTCGGGACCGTCGGGGGATTGTGACTCGGCGCAGCCCCAGCACATGGAAAACAGTCGGGGTGTCCTCAAAAATGACACACAGGACCACCACGTGACCCAGCAAGTCCAAGTCTGGGTACACACCCAAAGGAAGTGGAAGCAAGGTCTTTGTGAGATATTTGCACCCCGGGGTTCAGAGCACCGTTATATAACCCCAAGAGCTGAAGTGTTCATTGACAGACGGACGGATGAACAAGATGTCACCCACGCAAACAATGGAATGTGACTCAGCCTTAAAAAGGAGGCAGATCCTGACACTTGCTTTAGCACGACTGAACCCTGAGGACATTACACTCCACGATTCAGCCTGTCACCAGAAGACAGTGTAGGATTCCACTTACCCGGGACATGGAGAGTCATCAGATTCATAGGGACAGAAGACAGAGGGTGGACACCAGGGCCTGGGGTGGGGTGGGGAGTCTGTGTCTCATGGGGACAGTGTTTCAGTTTGGGAGGATGAGAGCCTTCTGGAGATGATGGGGGCATTGTGCTTAGGACCTTGGAAGCTGCGCGCTTAAAAACTGTTCAGATGGTCAGTTTTAGGTGACATGTAACAATAACTAAAGCACCTTTTATGGTGAAGGGGGCCCACACAGTCGTGGCAGAGAAAAGGTAATGGTATTGGTAAATCACATCCTCCCAGAATTCATACTGTGTGCGAGGTCACAGAGTGCAGTCCTGACCCCGCAGGCCCCATGAGAGGAGGGAGAGGTCTCGCCCCCCACCTGCACAGAGCCATGAGAAGCATGTCTGCAGGCGGGGAGGGCTCCCACCTCCATGGAGAGACCAGTGTCTGTGGTGCTCCCACCTCCATGGAGAGACCAGTGTCTGTGGTGCTCCCACCCTGGGCCCGAGCCCCTCCGCCCATCCCAGTGTCCCTGTGTGGGCTCGGTTGGGACCCATGCTCCCCGAGACAAGCAGCGAGGGGGTGCTGCCCGGTTGCCGGGGCCTGAGACACAGGACCTCACGACGTCTCCCTCCTTCCTCTGAATGGCATTGACAGCGTGAAGCCTGCCCTGTGGGATGAGGGCTGACCTGCGTTATGCTAATAGAACCAGGGTGCTGGGGCCCCGAACGCCCAGTGGGCACGTTGCCTCCTGGCTCACAGCCGCAGCTCTGGTGGTGTGCCCAGAACCGTCTTATCCCAGATAGGCTGCACAGATGCCGCCGAACCCTGGAGCAGAAGCTGATATGGCCTTGGCTGGAGAAAGAGGGTGTGGACGTCACAGGAGGGGCTGTAGGACACTTGGGCCTGCGTGACCCCAAAGCAACCTTCTCTGCTGTTTACATGAGAAATGGCGTCTTCCCACCCGAGTGTCACTGAGCAGCTCCTTCAGCACTTGGTTTCCGTGGTCTGTGGCTTCCCTGCCGCTGCTGTTTTGTGGGACCCAGGTCCTGTACCGTCTCCACTGCCCACGCGCCTGCCTCCCCCCACCCTGGTCAGAACCTGCACGGTCACACACACTCTGCCTCACTAACTACACAAGCAGAGGGATGCGGTGTGTGGCAAACGTCCCGAAAGTAACAGAAGTTGAACAAACAGTCGGCTCCTGCCCACGGCCGTGGGATGCAATCAGAAAGCTGACTTTCTGCGAACGCCAGCCGACAAGGCCACTCGGCTTGTGTCCTTCAGGAGCCGTGGGTCAGGGAGGAGGGACAGGGCCACATCTGAGCTCCCGAGGAAGCCTCGGGACCCCTGCCTCTGAGAGGTCATGCAGAGCATGGGCGGGTTTTCCCACTCGTGACCAGAACAAAAGGGTTTTGTCCAACTGTTCCTAGGCTATGAAATCATTTCTTTTCTCGATGTTCACGGATTTTCACATATCCTGCCTCTGGGAATGGTTTGTTTCTCTGGAGGCTCTGAGACCCTGGCCCAGGGGTAGGGGGAGGCGCTCTCGGGGCCCCTGGAGGTCGCGTCCCACGGAAGGCCTACCGCAATGCTCTCCTCGCGCCGGTACAGCTTCCAGTTCCTGCCGCTGTCACTGAACATCAGGAGGTAGCTGGTGACCCAGGCGGAGCTCCCGTACCCGCCCTGTGTGGCCACTGCGGTGACCGCCACCCTGTCCCCAAGGTCGATCTGCAGCCACTGGCTTCTGTTTGACACACGGGGTGTCCAGCCGCCAGCTCCTTGTGGAGGGAAAGGAGATGCAAAACCATAGTAAGAGCAGGAAACATTAAAATGCATCTTCAAGGGGCAAAACTGGCACAGAATGTGTGCCCCTGTGGCTTCCAGGAACACTAGGTCCCTAATGCCCGGGAACCTTGACCTCCTGACTGCAAACACAGTTATACATAGTGAGCAACTGCTTGTCTGTGCCCTCCTGCTCCTGGGGCGTGTGACAGCCTGGGCTCCGGGTGCTTGGCATCAGGGGGACACCCCCATGGAGCCTGTCACCCTCTGAACCAGTGTCCTTTAGGCTCTGTGCCGGGCTGGTTACCATCAGCCTATGCACCTTTCCAGGGTCCGCAGGGCGTCTAGCTCCTGGCAGAACTGGACGTCCATTTGGATGCCCCACCTCTGTGATCCAGTGTCCCACTCTGATGATGCAGAGTCCTCGGGACATGGCCTGCCATGGGGAACCCAGACTCAGGGACATCGGAGTCTAAAGCAATATTAGGAGCTCAGAGGTGGGAGAAGGTGCCGGTGGATGGTGACGCCGTGTGAGGTGGGATGACAAAGGCAAACCCCACCCCCAAGGGGAGGAGGGGTTCGTGCAGCAAAGTGCACCCCTCCACACACTCAGAAGACAGAGGACAAATGAGACCAGTGGAGAAATGGCAACCACCCAGCATGGGGCCAGTGACCCTGTGGCCCTAGCCCTGAACAGAGAACGAGGGGGACAGCACAGGGACCTCCTAGGGGCACTGCAGAGGCCAGGAGAGGGGACAAGAGTGCAACCAGAAGGTGGAGTCCTCCTTGAGCCCCCACCATGAAGGGACAGACCCAGGCTCGGAGAGTGTGCAGTCCCCGAGGACACGCAGTCCTCCTCCCATGCGCATGGCAAATACCCACGATGGACACCAAGTGCTGGTCATGCAGGGATTGTGGAGGTGGGGGCTGTGTGTCCATAAGCTGGAGGAATCCTGTGTCACCAGACCAGTGAGAGAAGAGTAAAACCCAGGCAGAATTACTGAGAAAATCAGGAAGGAAATACTCACCAAAAGTAATTGGAGAACATCCCTACCTCCTAAAAACAACTATGAAGCAAAAGGAAACCATGGGAAATAAACTCCTCAAACAAGCCTTTGAGGGTCCGAAACACCACCTTGAATCACAAGGTTGGGGCTAAGAATAACAACGGACCAAACACAAAGCTATGACAAAACACTGATTGAACACAGGAAGCAAATGGGATAAAAAGACAAAATTATCTGTAAAATAAAGAAGAAATACCATGACATACCATTAGATTGGCCCAATCCAGAGCCCTGACAGCACCCAGTGCTGGGGAGGACCAGGGGCGTACTCACTGCTGGGGGGACGCAGGAGGGAGACAGTCTGACTGCTTCTCCCCAAATAACACACTTTCACCACAGGATCCAGAAATTGCGATCCTTGGTATCACACAAAAATTGCACACTTGGTCTGTAACTGACAAAACTTTGAAAGCAAACAAGATGGCCCTCAGGGAGTGGATGCATGAATCAGCCGTGGTCCATCCATACAGTGGACTGTTGTTCTGTGAGAAAAAGAAATGAGCTATCCAGCCATGAAAAGACATGGAGGAAACTAAGTGAAAGAAGTCAATCTGAGGTTTGGGGGAGGGTGAGCAGGACTGGGGGTCTGGGGAGGGTGAGCAGCAGGGTCTAGGGGTCTGGGGGAGGGTGAGCAGGGGCTGAGGGTGAGGAACGGTGAGCAGGGGTTGGGGGTCTGGGGAAGGATGAGCAGGACTGGGGGTCTGGGGAGGGTGAGCAGGTGCTGGGGGTCTGGGGAGGACGAGCACAGAGGATATTTAGGTCAGTGAAACCCTGTGAATGATATTGTTATGATGGACACAAATGTATTTAGTGAAACCCACTCTGCACAACACCAAGGGAGAGCCTCTGGGCTCCAGGTAACAGGAGTGCATTAGTATCCGCTCATTGAGTGCAGTGCATGTGCCGCACGACTGTGCTACTTGGTGTTCATGGTCAGGACCCTATGTGGGGGGCCGTAAGAGGGTGTGGCATGTAGGGGCTCTCAGTCCTTCCTACTCTGTGTTACTGCAAACTCAAAACTGTTCTACAATCAGCACGTTAGTTAAAGAGAGTAAATTGCCCAGAGTCCGGAGAATAGACTGAGATGGAAATGTAGTGAAGGACATGAAAGAGGGTGGCGAACATCCGAGAGCATGAAAACGATCATGTGAATAAAGGATCAGAGAAGCAGTGGTCAGGGGAAGCAGGCAGAGCAGGAAGAGTGTACAGAGAGCTGAGTCCCGGGGAGAGACACAAACCAGTGCAGGAGGGTTGGTGTGGGAAATGCCGCCTAAGGCAACCTTTCCAGAGAGAAAGGACCACGAGAGCCCAGCAGGGATGGCATTGTGGACCGTGAGCAAAGATCCAGAAATAGACCCGGACACATGGGAGAAGTGGCGGGGTCTCCAGGATTTGGGGTGAGGACAGATACCTTCCCAAGTGGCCCTGGGACAGCGGGGCAGCCAGGGGAGGCTGTAGAGTTAGACCCATAGTTTACATGCACACAGCGCCAGCGCCTAGTGGGTCAGGTTTTTGGTGTGAACGTCTAAACGCACAGATGCGGGAGTGGGGGGAGTTAGGCTCCTCTTCACCATGGTGCCAAGAAAGCTTCTCTCACTAAGACTCAAAACCCAGAGGCCACACAGGAAGGACTGATCCTCTGATCCCACAGTCTTCCTAGATGCACGACGAAAGCAGAAGCCAACCCCAGAGCAAGTCGAAACACAGCCGATGAGCGGAGAACGTGCCCCGTGAGGCACCAGCTGTAGTGGGCGCCCAGGAGAGCAGTGAGTGACGTGTGCTGTGTCAGAGGACGGGCCTGGGGGGGATCTCCGGGACCTACAGAGACCCTGGAGCATCTCCTCCATGGGGAAGAAAGACAGGGTGTGCCCATCTGTCCTTCCTGCCGACTAATAGGGAGGGTGTACGCACTGCTGTGGAGACAGGGCCCAGAGGGAGAGCCCGAGAGGGGGCTGGGCAGGTTGGGGGGCACTCTGCTCTTTGCGGCAGACTGTGGGAACTGAGGGGATGGTCCACATCTCCCCATCTTCCCCAGAAATAAGCGACAGGAGCCAACCAGCACAGGGAGGAGCCTGCATATAATTCAAAGCCAGTGTGAGCCTGGCTGCCTCCCAGACAGGACTGCATCCCCTGGCGGTCAGGGAGCATGGCGCACCCAGGGTCTGGAACAGGGGAGAACCTAGATGGGCCTAAACCCCATGGTCCACCCAGGTGTGCAGGTCTGCAATCCTAGAACCACCTTGCATGTATACTAAAATTGAACCAATTAGTCAAGATATTGCAGACAATGGGGGCCAAGTTTTTCTGCTCTGGGAGGAGGGAAGGCTAAGAAGAACCCTGGTTTGGGCTAGAATTAGAAGGATCGATAGATATTGGCGGTTTGATGCACCTGTAAAGGGATACAGAACTACAGACACGTGTGGGCCCACATGGCTTAGCATCTCAGCATGCAGGTCCTGGGTATGACAGCTGGGAGGGCTGCTGGCGATGGCACCAGTGGCCACGAGCACAACTCACACCCAGCCCTCCGCTTTGGCACCCCGTTCTCCTGCACAGTCACCCGGGGTCCTTGGAGAACTGGTTGATTTCCATACAAAATACAAGAGGAGCTTAGAACATCCTGTGCACCAGAATGTAGGAAACGCTGGGAAAAAGGGAGCCTTGCTGAAAGAATGGAAGAACTGGCCTGAAGATTGGCCAACTCTAGGACAACTGAGCAGTGAAATGAAAAATAGATTTTACTGTGAGTACCCACAAGTTTCTGCTGGTGAAAGGAAACGAGCTGGATACTTGGGTGGCTCAGTTAGCTAAGCGTCTGCCTTCAGCTCAGGTCATGATCTCGGGGTCCCAGGACCAAGACCCACATCGGGCTCCTGGCTCGCCAGTGAGTCTGCTTCTCCCTCTGCCCCTCACCCCACTTGTGCGCGCTCTCTCTCGAATAAATAAAATCTTGAACAAAAAAAGAAAAGCAATCAAGCACATACTTGCTCAGGAGGAAGGGGCAGCTCTTCCTCACAGGAGAATTCCCAGGGTGACCCCGCAACAAGACAACCCTTTAGGGCAGACACCACAGTGGAGGGTGGCGGGCGGATCAGCGGGTGGATGCTGACGCTGCTGGGGGGATGTTCAGAAAGAGACGACACTGAGGTCTCAAAGTGTCCCTCAAGTCACTCATCACCATTGAGGGGTCCAGGTCCATGTCGCTGTCATCAGACTCCTCATGAGCCCACAACACAAGGAGGACACATGGCATTTCTGGAGCACTCTTGTCAGAAATTCATAACCTCACTCTAGTCAGGGGAAAACTGTGTCAACCCAGGGATCGCTCTCCAAAAGACCACAGAAGACTGAGTTCTCACTCAGTGATGGAGGGGACAAAGGACCCAGGACCCAGGTGCCTCGGGGGACAAAGAAAGGACAGACACAGAGGCAAGAGCTTGCCCTGCATTCTGGGCTGTCAGGAGCTTCCCCACCTTGCCATCTGTGCAACGTTAGCAGACAGGCGGGAAACCCAGAGGCCTCTTCACATCTGTGACTCTTCTGTGCCATTAGCCCAAAATAAAAAGTTAAACAAGTGTGGACAAGAAGGGAGAGGGTCCGGGAACCCCAGGCCATTGAGAGGCCATCATCAAAGACTGTGAGCAGACTTGGATGACAGCAGGCAGGGCAAAGACAAAGAATTGGAGGCCACCCGAAGACAGGCCCTCTGCCGGCCTCCCCACTGCCCACGGAGCCGCTGCCAAGCCAACTGGACCATTGTGCTTCACGATGCGGAAGCTGGGGTCTGCTCCCAGCTTGTAATACACCGTAACCCTCATCGGATGTTGTGACGGCTCTCTGATGCTCTCCAACTTCCGGGCTGGGGCTCAGTAGGGTCTGAGCAGTGAAGCTGGCTGGCATTTGGAGGTCCTGCTATTTGGTCCCTGAAT